CCAGATTATCGACAGGTGTTGGAGACACCTAAGAGATCATCTGCGGTACACTCCTCGTAAGCCCGGGAACCCCATCTTGGAGCGAAAGATCAGATCGGCACAGTGGCTCTATTGGAATCGCAACAAGAACCTCTGGGCCAAGACAGGTGAGATGCTGAGGACGCTCATGTCTGCATAGGCGGCACGTACCAAAACGTACGATGTACAGCATCCCGGATTCCATTCCTGTACTTTCATGCGTCGCAGTGAGTAAAATGCACAAGTTGCTTTCGCGCGGTAAGCAAGGAAACACGATGCTCTGATGAACTAAAGAGAAAGAGAGAGAGAGAGAGAGGGAGAGACAGATATCCACATCGTCATGTTGCGGTATGGTATCATGTTACCCACCACTTCCATCCGTAGTTTTCTGGGCTTGAGTGTGCTTTTTCCCTTCGCTTTCTCCTCGCTGCCATGAAGTGGCTGCGCCTTTCACAAGACATTCGCGAACTGATCTTGTCTTTCTTGGTGGGAAAGCCGGACGACGGACGCATACCCACAGCCCCCGTCGATGCTCCAGTTCTTATTGGCTACATGCCACCGAATGGCTCATTGGTTGTATTCGGTACTCTTTCTGTCAAACGCGTTCAAGAACACATTATCTTTCCTCATCCCTGCATTGTTCGCATCCAAGGTGATAGAGTGGAGTCATATCGTGGCGTCGTTTACAAGGTCACGAACCGTGGTGAAGAGCTGTTAGAGGAGCATGAGTACTATTTATACCAGCGTCTACGAAGATAGACAGCTGATGTTGCACAAACACAAGTTTTCCAGCCGTGAAGTGAAAAGCGATGACACTTCGTCAGAGCTTGTGCGGGCTAATTGGGGGGGGGGGTTAGCATATATATATATATGTTTATACATACATACATACATACATACATACATACATACATATATATATATATATATATATATATTCACATACTCCCATGCATACCGAGCTTGCAAGCGGAGGCAGAGAGGAAGGGAAGGGGTGCTGCAGGCCGAGATGCGGGAACGGCTGCTTTCGCCGGCAGCAGCCCAAGATCTTCGTCTAAGGGCCGGGAAGGGCTCTTTTCTGTTTGGGGCTTATAAGGGGCTGAAAGGGCTCCCTGACAGGAATGTGATGAGCTAGAGGAGTAGTCCTTTAGATGGCGTGGTTCACCCAACTGTGGGGTGTCAGACTCCCGTGTATTGCCGTGTATTACTTCCATTCAACAGTCCTCCAATTCCGAATCGGTCGAAGCTAGCTCTTGTATGTCAGCTGCTTTTTGGTCAGGGGCGATAGAGCTTCCTTCCGCAAGGGGGCTAAACCTCAAATGCAGCCTAAACCCTAAAACTTAATCCTGAACTCTAGACCCTATAACCCTCAAAGGCACCCTTTAAGGAACCCCAGTCCAATGAGTACGGGCCCGGTCCTGCCGTGAGGCAGAGTCCTCTGACGGCCTGCGGAAGCGCAAAGATGCCAAGGCCCACCTTCATCTTCGATATAAAAGTATTTGGGAGTTTCCGAAAATAGGGGACCCTACTATAGCACCCTAAATAGTCGGATCCTTATTATAAGAACCCCAAAATAAGGTACCCCTAATTTTCGGAAACCCCCATTGATGGAAATTCATATTAGTAAGGATATTATTGGTGAAGGATCATGATCGTGAGGATATTCTTCATGAAGACTCATAGTACTCGTAGTAGGGATAGTCTTGTGAAGAAACTTCGTAATAGTAAGCGACTACAACAAGAGGAACAAGAAGATCAGCAATAGTCATCGATCATAAACATAATGATGAAGATAACGAGAGCAGTAGCAATTTCTACAATAGCAATAATGAAGTGAACGGTAGTCATGACAATCAGGATAATGGAAGCAACAATAGAACCGGTTAGTCATAATGGGAAGAATAGGCAATAGTCGTCATAACTACTAATCACAAGAATGCAAACACGAGGGGCCTTCATAAGTTGAATAGGTTTTTCTGCTGTGTTATTTTGAGGTTATGGCACAAAGCCCTAAGGGTTGATGTTGGTAACTATTCAGGCTTCTTCATTAGCCGCTCCTTCGATCGACTGAGAGAAATTCAGGGTGTCTCATTTAACGCTTCCATGCTAAATGCGTTTCAGGAGGCCTCCAGGTGTAAAGCAACGCATTTGTTTTGCCAGTCTCATGTCCGATCTTTCTGTGCAAAGGCCCTGTTGAGGTGAGTAATCTACGAAGGGTGTCGATCTGAAAGTGTTCATGCAATGCTTACCACGGTGGATGTGAACAATTGGCAAGCACCGTCTCCTTCCTGCTTGGGGCGAAATTGCCAAAGTCTGCCAAGATTCTGACCGGCCGTCCTGCCGAGGACCTACCTACTAAAGTAATGGTGCGACCAATCACGTCGGGACGTGACACCCCAGATCTGGAGAGACACGGGATGTTTCCGGTTGTGCCCCGATGGACGCTTTCCAGGCAACCGCCGCAGAACCCTTGAAGCAAAACCTGACGCTCCTAACAACAGCAGTCAATGTCAAATCCTCAAGCTCGAAACCCTCAGCCCTTAACGCTGTGTGCGTAGGATGCCGTGCGAAGGTATTCCAATGTGCAGATTTCAGGCATCGAGTGATGCTCTGCAGTCAAAGATGAAGTGCATTTAGAAGTACTATAAACTCTACACTTACATCCTATGTCAGACATGTAAACCCAGAGCGAAACCATAAACCCCAAAGCAAAGCAAGCAACCCAACCTTTTCCGACCAAGCCGGGCATAGCGCCAGGTCGCTTCCGCTGAGGATGCCGAGCGTTCCGAGGCGCAGCAATGCTTCGGGCAATAGGCATAGGGGCCTAATAGAATAGGGTTCCTTTAAGGCTGCTTCGAGGGCTCTTCAACAGGTTCTGTAATACGGATTTATCGGAGTTCAGGGTATTCGGGTTTCGGGACGGGTTTTGGGTTTTCGTGTGACTTTGACTATTGCTGGTGCCTTTTCTCATTGTTTCGCGGCTGAAGGCGTATGGCTGTCTGCTTAACTGCGTTTTGCCCGTGCCCTTACGATTTGATACTCTTGCTCGGGATGTCGCTCCTATGGGTTGTAGGGTCTCCGGGGATGGTCTAGGTTTCTTGGGCCTGGGCTTCAGATTTGCTTTGTTTGAAGGGCTTCGAATCCATGGATGTTGAGTTCTGTGGTTTAAGATTCAGTCCTTCCAGGGAAGAGTGCGTAGGGCTGTTCTTGATTGATTCCGGTTTGGGCACACGGGGTTCAGATTCAGTGTGCCTGCCTACCTACCTTCCTACCTACGTACCTACCTACCCGCATACATGCATGCATACATACACACGGTTTGTACAGCTCGCAAGATGCTTAGAGCAGCTTCGTTGGTTTGGGGTGTTCTCTTTTGGAACATCGAAAGCAGCAAGGGTAGCAGTGTACAGGCTGCCACGGCAGGGGAACTAACAGAAGTGAAGTGGTACAGCAGAGAAGGAAGCCATAGCTATCGCCTAAACCCGAAACCGCCGGAAACCCTGAGCCCTGAAAACACTGGCCCTTATGGACGTATAGTAATCCAAGACCCTAAACCCTGAAAGGGACACCTAAACCCGAAATCGCTGCAGGTCCTGGCACTACAGGCTGCGCGAGCTGGGACCTTAGTAGGGCGGTTGGACCGACAGGTGTACGTGATCTGCTTTAATATGGAAGCCTGAATAAGTACTAATACCGCTCACTGGTGCATACTCAGTTTCACTCCTTGTGGGAAGGTTCTGGTTCATACGACCCAAGCAGACCTGCTGCCCCTGCTAGTTGCTTGCTTCGAACCGCCGTGGCATCAGGACAAGATGCAGGAAGAGCTGCATCGAATGCAGTATGTTGGTGACGCTCGTCTGATTACGCACCATGGAGAGTCGAATTACGTAGGATTTCGGGTTTTGGGCGATTGCCAGAATAGACTCGGGTTGGATCACCAGCCCGATGCAAAGTTTCGATGCTTAGCCCTACAGGCCTAGGGTTTTTCAGCCCTTTCAGAATGCTCAGTCGTAGATGTGCGATTCTAAGGAAAGCCTCGAAGGATCCAGCAGCACGTGCTGCACTCAGCTGTACGGATGTTGTATAGGTGTCGTAATGTCTAGTTTTATGTCCCCCTCATAGTCCTTCTGTGAGTATACCACAATGTACACCCCAGAACCCAGTTCTACTTGGTTAAGGCCCCCTATATTTAGGGTATCCGGGTTCAGGGCTCCAGTCCGTCATGAACTCGTTGTGCTCGTCCCCTTGAGCCGGTTTCAGAGCCCTCAATACAAAGACCTGGCCCTTGTCCCAAAGGTTGATATCAAAGGTGATTGTGTGTCTTGAACGGCTCGCCTTTCCTTGCGCCATCTGTTTCTGTCACTCACCACTGGTACCTATCTCCAGAAAACTAGAAATTGCAAGGTTTTAGGGTCGACGGTTATCACAAATACCCCAACCAAACCCGAGGGCCACAAATTCAAAGTTCCGATGCTCTATCACACACAAGAAGGGGGGAGCCAGCCAGCGAGAGTGTCACGGTTGGTCCCCGACAAAAGGTTAGGTCTTGGGACTTGTATTCCTACTTCGGCATTGGGCATTCAGGGTTGGAGTTGATACAGTTGCTACAACAGAGAACAAGCAGGGTTTAGGGCCTTTGAGGTTCAGCTTGTAGGGGTTCCTGTAGGGACTACTTTAACTTCCATCCGCAACTTTGGACAAGCGGCATCTTGGCTGTTGCAACCTCAGTTCAGCGCTTGAAGAGACCTACCGGACGTACCCTATTCAGCAATGAAGCGCCGAATCATTAAAAGGACTGTGGCACTTGGAAGATTTTGAGTTACTATAGGAAGCAGAGCTTGGACCCGTTCATCTTCAGCAAGCTATATATGAAATCCCTGCTCATCAAGCCTGAACTCAGAGATCGAAAGACTTCGAGCCCAGGAGGCTTCAACCAGATCCAAGACATCCGAAAGCCACCTCCCAAAGCTCAGCTCAGGATCGGCAGGACACAGACCGCCATGCAGGAGTATGACAGCAAGCTTGCAAGTGCAGCCGGACTCCTAAAGTGTGCTTCATGATCTTACGCCTGCATATCTACTTCGCTTGAAGTAGAGCATGGTCATGGTTGGTTCTTCTCCGTCTAACTGCATGTCTGCTTCCTGGAAACATACACCCACACATACATATGTATATATATATATATATATTGTTTCATTTATTTGATTATTTATTTATTTATTTATTTGCATTTACACGTATGCATGTCCGAGAACAGTTCTGGATGCACCTCCGAAGTTCTTGTAAGGATGGCATAAGCTGTCGAAGTCGGGCTTTCGCTTGGAATTGGTAGCTTCTCTTCTCGGCATGCCTTTGCCAGTAGCGTTGTGGCCGGGATGCTTCAGCCATCGGTAGCATCGGTCCTAGAAGCAATGGTACATGAACTCGGCATTCCCCCGACCCCACCCCCTAACACCATAATCTAGGGGCCTATAGCTAATGGTATTTTGGAGGCTACTCATTAGACTTATCGTATAATATTATCCCCTAAGCCTATTCGAATTATTAAGGCTCCTACATTAATCGACAAACCTTAAGCTCCTTCAAAGGCCATGCACCCCAAGCCCCCCCAAACCCCTTACGGAATATGCTTTGAATTATATTACGGTTCCCATTTTAACTTAGGGTGCATTTCCTTGCGCAGGCTCTAAAACCCCAGATTGGCTTTGGACCTCGATTACCCGAAGCATGGTTGATGTAGGCCCACCAACAAAGATCTGATCCGTAGCCTGAGAAACAAAATCCCGAAAGCTTGATTCTGACCGAAGCATCGCCCCAGGCCAAAGCATTGGGTCAGCTCAAGCGGCGCATGGAAGAAGACTCGCGCTACATTTGGTGGTCGGGCACTTCTGTTGGGAAGCTCTTGAAACACTTCTCATCTTGCAGCTCCTGCATTGTCGCACGTGCTCGTATCATTCGGACCATGATTAGATACGGCTTCCTTGCTGCTGGCTTGTTGATTGACATTGTGGAGATCTGAAGTTACTGGAAGCCTGAGTCAGCTCTGAGCATCGCATGTTCCAGGTCCTTCTACTTTTTTCTCGCTGTGGTTGCATACATCGTCTTGCCTCGTGCTCAGCTGCAAGAGTACCATGCATCATTACCCTCATCCTCTGGCATGAGCTCGTCCTTCAAAGCCTCCCTGTTTTTCTTGGCACATCCATCTTGAAAGGGAGCAACAGATTACATAATGTATGATGCCATTCTTCGCCACTTCCGCCTGTGACATGGTTTCGGGAAGAGCATGCATGAGGAACCACAAGACCAGACAAATCGCAAAGGGCGTGAAGTGGTAGGGCAAGCTTGTTCGCATCTTGCGGGATGGTATACCGAATCTTGATGCCCCGTCTCTGCAAGCTAACCCCTGCCATAGGGGCACTTCATCCTAAACCCCCGTAGCTCCTAAAATCCCGATCCTAATATTGCCATGATAACCATAGGGCCGTTTTTGTTTTTTGCTAATATTGCACCTCACAAAGCGACAGATCCTCGAGTAGTATATTTATTCTTATATTACATGTTATGGCCGTTCTAGTAGAGTAAAATGTGTGATAGTACCTCTGTCGAGGATCCTGCTCTGCTCGGGGACCCCGGGACGAGGATTCCCAATTGATTAAGGGTGGCCCAGCCCCTTTAGCCGAGCAGTGACAGCAAACAAGCACTGAATGCCATTGATACAACACACGACATACCCCTTATGTAAGCCTAAACCCATACACCCGAAACCCGAAACCCCGAGCCCTAAACCTCTCATGTTCGAAGTTCGGGCAAACTTCATCAGTTACCTCCTGCGCGTCTCTGTTCCCACCCAGGCGCCGATTGAAAGTCTTCAAGATGATGCACTACGGTCCCGCTGGCTTTCGGAAGATTCCGAGCTTAGGGTTTAGGATTCAGGGTTTANNTTTCGGGTTTAGGGTTTGGGGTGCTACTGTTCTTGGAGATAGCTGTGACCGTAGCGGTCTAGTCTTGGTGGAGGATGACAGGTGTAAATGTTGCTGCTATGACGAGGAAAACTAGCTGTGGCGACTATGTGGTCGGCCACGGCGACCTCGGACTAGGCGACTTCTTGTCACTCACATGCACTTCTAAATACTGACTAGATATTGCTTACTACCGACTTCACGCCATCCCGTTTCTGGACCAACAACGTGCATAAGTGAGTGGAAATTACTCGCAGGTAGTCATATTCGGACTGCTTGTCCGTGGCTTGCCAGGCGCATCCTGGACAGCTTGGTTGGGCGCCTGGCCGTGAGGCTTTGGAGGAACGACGGATAGCCACCTCAACGGAATGTACAGGAACAGAAGCGTAAACGTAAAGCGGCGACTCCATATCGCATCCTTGGGAATACACCGGCTTCTAAATGCACGCGACCATGTAGCGTCAGCGTCATGCTTCAGATCATGCTGCGAATGGTCAGACGTAGAGCATTGGTTGAAGGGTTGAGCCATCATAACCGATGCAGCTGGAACAGAGAATGAGCTGACGTTTAGGTCCGGAAACACCGTGCTGGGGGCCGTGCAGCCTTGACCTCATCACTTTCATGTGGGGAGGGGCGGGGGGGCGGGGGGGGGGNNGGGGGGGGGGGGGGGGGGGGTAATATTGAATTAAATTCTGTATTCAGCGGGTCCTTCATGTAGGTCAATTTGCAGGGGCGTGGCCAATACGAACGTGCCTTGTTCTTTCGCAACATGTGGATGCGAAAGCAGACGAAGGTTCTCTGCAGCTCTGAAGACAGCACTGCAGTGCTTTGCGGCTTCAGACTCAAAGAGTGGCTTGTCTGATCGTTCACAAGAAAGCAGCGCACAAGTATCGTCACATGTGGTCATGATTATAAACACACTCGTTGAACCCTACTAGCCGTAATATTTCGTATTCCGTAGTGGTACTACTGTATTGACAACTGTGTTCTCCGTCCCTGAACACTTGAGAAGTAATCGTGGCACGAGCTGTTCAACGGCAATCTGTCAGAGCTGTGCTGCGCGCGGCTCTTGGACGCAGCACAAGCACTGCACACCTGACCAATGTGTTTACACATCCTAAACTTCCAATCAGTGTTTATCCCTGCCCACCTCATAAACTGCCACTGTGTGGTTCGAGCTTAAGACACCAATGCTTCAAGAATCTGTCTCAAGGTCCATCTACTTGCAGCTGCTGGGTCAGCCTGAGGCAGTTTCTAACGACTATTGCATTTACGTCGGATGCTCCAAGAGTTGGTCTATCGCTTTGTAGACAGTCTCATAAAGCTTGCGAACTCCCACTCCCTAAACCCTGCTTGTCTGTTCCATTGGTATGGCTTCGCCTCGCTCTTGTGGTGCGCTCTGTCGCTAGGGGGCTGCAGTCTCCAAACATTAGTCATTAGGCTAGTCCTGAGTTGCTATCTCGTTTGGGCAATGCTATAGCGTACGTCTAGCAGTAGTCGTCGTCGTAGTCGTAGTTGGAGTCGGCGTTTTTCCAGTCGTCGTCCACATCGTCGTAGTAGTAGTAGTAGTAGTAGTAGTAGCAGTAGTAGTAGTAGTAGTAGTAGTAGTAGTACTAGTAGTACCACCCAATTAGTACTACTGCTACTGCTGCTGCTACTACTTCCGCTCCTCCCACTGCTACTACGACGACGACGACTACTAGTACTACTACTACTACTGCCACTGCCACCCACTCCCACTACTACTACCACCACCACTACCACTACGACTACCACTACAACCACCACTACCAGTACCACTACTGTACCACCACCACCACCACCACCACTACCACCACCACTGGCACTGGCACTGGGACTAAGATTAGCGCGAGCACTAGCACTGCTGCTACTACTACTACTACTACTACTACTCCTGCTGCTGCTGCTACTGCTACTACTTCTACTACTACTACTACTACTACTACTACAACTACCACTACTATTACTATTACGATTATTACTACTACTACTACTACTACTACTACTACTGCTACTACTACTAGTATTACTGTTGCAACTTCTTGTTCTACTCCTACAATTACTGGTACTATCAACACTACTGCTATGACTATGACTACTGCTATA